GTATGATGATATAGACCGGACTGGAGGGTCCAACGAGCTATGGCCGGACCTAAGGGTCCAACGAGCTACGGGACTGGAGGGTCCCGCTGAGATACATTGATCGAAGGGTCGTATTATAGCCTTGAGTGGCGTATGTGTTGTATGTGGTATTTTGGGGAACTCACTAAACATTTATGCTTACAGTTGTTGTGTTATGTGTTTCAGGTACTAGTGATGAGCGCAGGAAGGCGTCGGCATGATTCGTACACACACACATTGGAGTTTTTGTAGAGATTCTGGGGAAAAGTTTTGTGATAATAACATTTGATACAATGTGTTTGACATTATTTATGAATGAATGAATGTTTTAAAAATTAAAAAAAAATTATTTTGAAAATTCACGTTGTTAAAGATGGCAGCTGTAATTGTAATGTAATCATCGCCTAGTTGGGACAGAATGTGCACCGTAAGATATTCTTCCAAGACAAGGCTTTGTGCTAATACTAAGTCATCAGCTATGGATCGCATCTCTTGGAGATATTCAGTGATCGACCTGGTCCCTTTAGGGTTTTTCACTAGTCTAGATTTAAGAGAGATGATACGTGACCTTGATGAGGAGGCAAAACTCGAGTTTAATCGATTCCAGGCTTCTCGAGCCGTTGTTGCTGATGAGACAAGAGGCTGGATTGCATCTGAACAGCTTCCTAGTATGACACTGAAGATCATCTTATCTTTGCAGTACCATGGACGGTAATCTGGATTGGTTGTTGTTTTGCCCTCTTTGTCTGTGAGGGTTGTCGCCAGTGGGCCAGAGTTGATGTGGCCGTCGAGTTTAAGACTGATTAGGTTTGATTCAACCTGCTTCCTCTATACTGGGTAATTTTTTGGAGTGAGTTTGATAGTGAGATGAGTGGCAGCAGTAATTTGAGTGTTGTTTTTGGTTACCATTGACGGTTGTTGATCGATTGAGTGAGAGAAATTGTGTGGATTGATTTAGATCTCGTGAGAGTAAGAGTTCTCTGATACAATATAAACCAATGCTTTTTATTGTATGTTAATGTATCGTACAACAGGGAGGCATATATAGCCAAAGATCATAACCTAATCTAGAGATAAACTAGGAACATATACAGGAGCAGGTGCAACAACTATGGCTAAGTAAATATGTAACAAGTGCGGAATATATTCAGCTGATACATCACTGACTTTCGGCGACTGGGGTATCTGACGGTCACCAATTTATTGTCGATTGGAGCAACACAACCTTTATATTTCTTTATCTCTCTCAGCAGTCGATGAAGATGGTAATCCAAAGAACAGATGGGTTGGTCGGAGAAAGAATGGAGTTACAGAAGGAGGCGGCAATGTATTAAAAAAGACGAAGGGCGACGAAGACGTGAAAACCCATATCAACGTTGAAGGTGGCTTCAACCTTCAGTAGGTCCGGTTTGAAAACCCATATAAACATTATCGTCTTCACACCTCGACGACGACTTCATTTGGAAACTCAAGCCACAGACGTCGCCTCCGTTTCTCTCTCCTTCTCCAACGAGTATCGTCTATCTCAGGTCCTTCTTCTTCGACGAAAACCCTCTGCCGCCGTCGTCCTTCTTTGCCGATAACCCTAATCTAGATGATATAGGTGGCGACGCTAGGGTTTCGAAAGTCGGTGATGGTTTTTGTCGAAAATGGGGTTATGGAGATGGTTTTGCGATGGAGAAGACGAACCAAAAAGGTGACATGGTCTCCAATGGTGACAATCGATTATGGTTTGTTGTTGGCAATGTCGGCTTTCAGATCTATCGGAGGTTGGTGGTGGCAGAGACAATATGGGCTGAAGTTGGGGTTGAAGGCGATGGTGTAACGGCGACGTGGGTGGTGGAGTCAACACTGAAGGGTTCTTGAGAACCATGAAGAACAAACGAAGAGGAAAGGAAAAATAGTTGGGAGAGAGAGAGAGAGAGAGAGAGATTTTTAATTATTTTTTTAATCTGAACTTCATAAAAAACGAATATGAAAAAAGAGAAAATCTTATTAACAGGGGCAAATCTATCATTTTGAAAAAAAAATCAAAATAGATTGAACATTTGGACCAAACAAACAACAAAATGAAAACATTTAAATGAAAATCCAAAATTTTTAGACCAAATTGACAATTTCCAACATATCATGGAGATATTTTTAAAGTTTAGTCTTAAAATCTTGATAACAATCAAAATAAACTATTTATATTAAATAATATTTGAAAATCTTGATAACAATCAAAATAAACTATTTATATTAAATAATATTTGACTTTTGGTTTTTTCGATTAATCAAGTATGAAGGAAAATGTACTATTTTTGTTACCAAAACTGCATTTCGAGAAAAATATATTCATACCCTTGTAACAAATGTTTTGTTCGTTATTTTTCAGTTGATGTATGATTGATTATATAATCCACTCTCCTAAAGGAGCCCTACGTACTCAATAATGCCATAGGAATTAGACTGCTGGTTAGTTCATACTACAGTTAGGTTCTAGTATATGTTTGATGGAATTTGAAATAGCATGATGTTTTGAATCTTAGTGATCAAGGATTGAATACTTTGTATAGATGAATTCACGAGAAGGTATTTCTGTTTAATGTTCAATGTAATGGTATTAACTTCAAACTTCGAATCTAAAAATCTGTATACAAATGTACTAAATTCATTTTATGTAAATGTCGTCTACATTCATTGTGAATCAGATGAGCTAAATTGCCTTATGAAATATTAAGAACCTTTATTTTTTGGTATAAAAATAGAGTTAATTGAATTATTTATAGACATATAATTTAAAATCCCCTTCTAAGATTCATGTATAATAATATAATTTCTACTTTTTGCTCACATTACTATTTTCTTTTAATTGGCTATACTCTTTTAGTTAGTAGATGCATGACTAGGCGTCAAGCAGTACAAATTGGACTGAACCAGAACTTTGGGTTAGTGATTGAAGTCTAATTATTTAATTTAATGATGGTGTTTTATCAAATGATATTTGTTAAAACGACCCTACAAATATTAATTAAACTAATCATGTTTATAAAGTTTATTCTCATAAATTTGAAAACCAACCAATTTATCTGGAATGCAGTATTTCTGACCCAATTAAAATAGGCCGAGCCCAATTGTATGGTCCGAAACAATAGTTTGAAATAGATTTTCAATTTATTTAGAAGAAAACACTCTGTTAATATTTTAATATTATAATGTTGTATTATTATTTTAAAAAGTAATAATGATATGATTTGCATACAATCAAATTTGGCTAATCAATCCTAAATCCCGAAACAATAGTTTGAAATAGTATTAAGCTACACCGATAAATTTGCATGGACATTACTTAAAAAACGTTAGGCCAAAAAATGTAATTTTTTAAATTAAAAACTATAAGGATCAATACTGGATTGACCTGTATTTTTTAGAATTAATAACTATAAAAACCAAATACTTTCACAAATGGAAGATTAATACAGAGACCAGTTATGTTGTTAAGTCATTTCCTATATTAAAAACTACAAAAGCCAAAACTGTAATTAATCAGTTTCTTTTTAAAATTAAAGCTATCGAGAGCAAAAGTATATGATGCTTTAGTTGTGGAAAATTTTCCAGTTTTTAGGAAAAATTTTCCAATAAAAAACGGAAATTTTGAAAACGCGTTTGGTTCGTTCAGTTTTCCAAAGTTTTCTAAGAAAATGAAAATTTTCAGTTTTCCAAATTGTATGTAAATTAGAAAAGTGATTTTTACAGTTTTTCAAAATTTTTCAAATTTCTAAGATGAAGAGTGAAAACTCCACCCGTTCCAACCAAACACGTTTTCTTTGAAAATTAAAAATAAAAACTCAACCCTATTTTATAAAAACATTTTCATAGAAAATGAAAACAGTTTTCCACAACCAAAAACAGTTATAATTTTCAAAATTTTCTAGAAAAACAATTGGTTTTTACGTGCTATTTTCTATGGAATAAGAACTATTACTGGTCAAATTAGGAAATTCATCATAAAAACCTTTGTTGCACTGAAATTAGAAAAACCGATGAACTATTGATTCTAACGTCATTTTATTTTGGAGTTAAAATAATACTACTTCTATGGCAGTTCTTTTCTTCATTTGTTACGTTTCCAAAACTTTTTAAAACATTTTGGGTTTACATTATAACTTTCAAACTAAAAATTGTCTAATTTTGTATTAGGTTTATAGTTGTTTAATTTTTATTTGAGTAAATTACACAAATGATCCTTATGATTTAGAGTAATTTGTATGTTTGATTCCTAATTTATTATTTTAACTCGGAAAGTTCTTACTGTTTATTTTTATTGCTCATTTGATCCATGTTTTACATAAAAAGATTATTTTGTCTTTATTTTTTTTTTTAATTTATTTAAATAAACACACCTCAAGTTCACTTCCACCTCATATTACCTATCCCACTTTATTTAAATTAATTAAAAAATCAATGACAAATAGTTTTTTTAGATAAGACATAGATCAAATGCGCAACAAAAACAAAATGTAGGATATTCCAAGTTAAAAAAATAACTTATGGACCAAAATTACAAACTACCACAAACGATAGGGACCATTCGTGTAATTTACTCTTTTTATTTTTCTATTTTGAAGTTTCGGACGAGTGGTCTTCAGTCTTCACACAAACGTCCTTTTCAATGCCTCTGCAAATATTCCCTCTTTCTTTCTGTTACTCCTCTGCTCTGCTTTAATCGGTTCCAACAGTCCATTTCAACAATGTACGATTACTCCACTGATTTTCCCTGCTGCTTCTTCTTCTTTCGGACATCGGACTCTGTATGATTATTTACAGGTACACTTGCTTTTTCCCACAAAACTTGTTTTTGAAACAGTCTACTATCATAAAAAAGGACAAATCACATTGTTCTTATAGAGATATCTTCCATACTGATTCAAAACCTACCCACTGAGTACATTTGTTTGGATCCAATTAGGTAGAACACTGCATTTCAACAACGATCTAAAATGAGGGTTTTATTTAACACATTGGAGTCGCTAAGACCACTTACAGAATCCAAGGCATGGGACTACTGCGTTGTGTGGATGTTCGATGACGATCCTTCAGGGTATGATCAATCATGATTCTCGTAGCAATATCAATGAACACAGAAATTAATTACCATAACTGATTGTGTCGTTGTTTTTGATTTCGGGAGTTTTTTTTTCAGGTTTATTAAGTGGATTGGATGCTGTTGCAGTGGAAGTAGCCATGGTGTTTGTAAAAATGTCAAAGAGGAAACCGATGAACTTGAGCTCAATACGCCTTACCTCTGCAAAGATACTTACGTTAAACACTCTGTAACGACAAAAGCTTGTGAAAAACTTGCTGTAATTCCTTCTTCGTTGCCACTGTATCCTGGGTAATCAATAATCATCTCTATTCCAAGTTTAATCTTCTGTTTTTTTGATCATTGAATTCACGCCTTTCAACGCCTGAATTTGAAACCAGGATCCATGGAGAAGTAGCGATGTCTAAACAACCATTCGTGCTAAGTAACGTGAGCATTTTACGGATCGATTTACACTCAAAAGCATTGTTAACACGAATTAAACATCATTCTTCGATTGTAATGTTACAGGATTCACTTGGAACCCAATTAATCGTTCCTGTTGAAGGTGGTTTGATCGAGCTCTTTAGATCGAAACATGTAAGCCTCATTTTCTTTTCAAAAAGAATCAAATTTATATATATATATATATATTTCAGTCAATTTCAATTTTCAACATTATTAACATGTGTATAATTTATATTTAGGTTCCCAATGATCAAAGGACGATAGAAACCCTAATTTCACGATTGGGTGTCATTGTAGACCATGAATTCCATGAAAATGACATGAAAAGTCGTGTGAATTCATATCATTTCCATCAAATTGTTCCTAAACTAGAGCTTCTTTTCCCTGTTCAACAACCTGTTATGTCATCAGGTGCGACCCATTTTAGTAATTTTAGTGATTATCCAAATCTTAAATCAATCCAATTCTACATAAACGGTGTAAATTAGCCGCTTCTAATTGGGCATTTTGGTAATTTTAGGCAATGGTAAGGCTAAACACAAGATAGGTAAAGAACAATACCATTCAAAGAATCTTGTAACCGAAAGAAACCGAAGAAAGCGAATCAAAGACGGTTTATATACACTACGCGCTTTAGTTCCCCGAATTTCCAAGGTTTTTTTGTATATCAAATTTCTATTATTTTTATTAAATTTGTCAAAAGTCCCACATCAGCAAAATAAAGGGTTGTAGTGTTGTTGATGGTTTGTTAGATATTTAAAGAGTAATATGATTTGATAATTAGATGGATAAGGCTTCAATAGTTGGAGATGCAATTGATTACATAAAAGAGTTGGAAAAAAATGTTAAAGAGCTTCAAGAAGAGCTTAAGGAGCTTGAAGAACAAGAATGTAAGGTGAATGATGGTGAAATGGAAGTTTGCAAACCGAAAAGAGCTTATGAGAGCTCTACACAAATGTATTCTAAAGCAAAAACTAGGGTTTCAAATGTTAATGATTCAAAAAATGAGGTACAAATTTACAACTTTCTAAAAATAGAAACTATACTAAAATTTAAACTTAAAAAAAAAAATTGATGATTTTATACTAAAATTTACGTATTCGATTATTAATGTTAATGAAGGTGGAAGTGGAAGTACACCAAATCGGGGCTCATGATTTCTTGTTGAAAATAATTTGCAATAAAAAAGCCGATGGGTTTTTGAAAATAATGGAGACGATTGATTCATTGGGACTTGAAGTGATTGATATTAATGTTACTACTTGTAATGGTCGTGTTTTGAATGTTTTAAACCTTGAGGTGAATATTTAACCTTTTTTTTTTTTTTGTTAATATTCTTTTGTTTTTTCGTTTTTTATTTTAACATTGATGATTGGTTTTTGAAGGCTAAAGGGAAAGAGGTGGTGGCCAAGAGTTTGAAAGACTCGTTGCTTACGAGTTGGTCGGCTTTGAAAGTTGAGTGAAATGTGAAAATTTGTTTAGTTCTTTAAGTTTTTATGTAAGAAATTAAGAACATTGATTAATATTCTCAACAACATTTTTCATGTAATTTGTTACTTGATTTTAATAGATATTCTTACGTAACTATTGAATTGTGATTCTAAATGCAAAAAATGTTTTAAAGAGTATGTGTTTGGATTACGAATTCGTAAGTAATACAGTGGAATTGGAATTCGAAATTCAATTTCTTGTTGAATTGATAGAGTTCAATGATGTTGAAATCATTTAAATTCCACATTTCATGTATTTCACAGTTTGTAAGGGAGTGTGGGAGGAAATCATTTCTATTCTTACTATTAAAAGGCCATAGATAATACCTTGTTAATTATATATATTTATGATAAATTAAAATATAAATAGAAATTTAAAATATTTAATTTTAATTATTCAAGTTAATTTTATTTGTTGTGAGCTATCTATAACAACTTATGATTTATTTTCATAGTTTCAATTTCTTTGAAATTTTAACGTTTTGAAAAAATCATTTAAAAAAAACATTATAAAACCAAACTTAGATCATCCAATATCATTTTATCTATAGTTTTTTTTTTCCACATCAGTTTTTCACTATTTTATCAAACAATAATTGATCAGCTTAAACATCATCATCAAATTTGTTACTTTTTTAAAACACATTTACCCTTATCTTATAAAATATTTTATAAAGAATCATCATCTAATTTGTTATTTTAAAGTACATATAATATTTATAAAGAAGTATTTAACAATAACATTAACCAAAATCAATATATTTACTAGACATCAAATTATAATAAATAGTTTCAAATTTAAGTTTTGTTTAACGAGTTAATTAAGACTAGATTTTAGTTTATAAATTAACTTATCAATAAACTATCTAAAGAAATTTTATTAAAAAAAACTAGACTATAACCTACTTTATAACCTACAATAAATGAATAAATTATTTTGTAAAATCAATATATTTACTATACATCAAATTATAATAAGTAGTTTCAAATTTAAGCTTTGTTTAACAAGTTAATTAAGACTAGATTTTAGTTTATAAATTAGCTTATCAATAAACTATCTTAAGAAAATTTATTAAAAAACTAGACTATAACCTACTTTATAACCTACAATAAATGAATAAACTATTTTTGTGGTTTACCAGCTATATTATAATAAACTACATTATAATTTAGTTTATAGAAAATTCTATAAAAAATCTTTATGTTTTGGTTTTATAATCAATTTAATTTTTATATGTTTTTTAACTCAATTAAGTCCTAAAAATCAACAATTATATTCAATTTTACCCTTTACCCGGTGAACAAGTAATCTCACTTTAAAAAATTACATTTTTGGCTTAGGTTTTAAAATATATTACAAACTTTAACAAAAATTTACACTTTTTGCTCGGATTTCACAATTTTTTTACGATTCATCATAAATTTAGTTTTTTACAATTAGTTTTTCAAAAAAGAAATCCGAATATGGTTTTTTTCTTGTATAAAATCATATTTATACAAAAAGTCATATTTTTCAAATAAAAACTTTTTTTTTTCTATATAATTTCCAAAAAAACATTTTATATGCAAAATACCTATATAAAAACTTTTTTTTTTTAAAAACATTTTTGTATTCAAAATATGTATTTCAAAAAACATTATTTTACTTAAAATATTTATTTATAAAAACGTGGTTATGTGAAAATGCGTAAAATATACTTATGTAAAATACGTTATTACACACACACACACACACACACACACACACACACACACACACACACACACATATATATATATATATATATATATATATATATTAAAAAAAAATTTATAATGTATTTATTAAGTACATAAAAAAATATATACAAAAACCTAATTCATAGTCAACGTATTTGTATATATGTATATATACAAACACATTCGTATACAAACAAGTTTGTATAAAAATACGTTTTTACACAAATACATTTACTATAAAATATGTGTTTATATATATATATATATATATATATATATATATATATATATATATATATATATATATATATATATATATATATATATATATATATATATATATATATATATATATATATATATATATAGGGAGATGATCAAATGAGAACACCTAAAAGGTTCAAAACACGAGAACAATTGTAGACCAATCATTCCATAGGGGTGTAAAAAGAATTTTACAATATAATTAAATATGAATAATTAATTAATTCCTACAATCGTGGGATGTTGTCTAACTGATTGATATTTTACCCAGATACTAAAAATGAATTTAATCTATTTTTAATCAAATAGATTACGAAAAAAAAAAACTTTTTACCATGATTAGAAAACGTTTTTTTTTTAACCGGTATATCAAAAAGAATGATTTTACCATGATTAAAAAACGTTTTTTTATTTTATTTTATTTTAAATTTACCAGTATTTCAAAAAGATTGATGAATTAATCATTTCAACCGAATATTTGTAATCATACAAAAATAAAACATATTTGTAATCAAATATGAATCCGTTGTAATCGTAAATAAATAAATGAATTAAGTTATAATGATAAGAATTAACATTAAATTAACCAAATCTGTGCCATGATAGACATAAATATTGTTCATGATTAAAAAAAAGTCTAATATAATCATAATCATAAATAAAGAAACCTTAATGTAGACAGTGCAATTGTAATTATAAATGAAAAGTACAATGGTAAAATAGAAAAATATCATTATAACATCTGGATATGATCATCTAAACCAGTGTCATTTTACAATCAAAAGCACACCAACAATTTTCACGGTCCCTTTTTTCCGCGTCCAAGCTTTTGACTTAAAATGTATTGCTCTTGCGTTCAATCTTTTGACTTGAAACGGATTGCCTTTATATGAACTTAAGCTCTTTTGTTGTTACGAAACCTACAAAAATTAAAACATAAATGCAAGTTAGAATAGCAAATATATAAACTCAATACTTGTAATCATGTATGATTAAGCATAATAAATAAATTTAATACTTCTAATCATGAATGATTAATCATAACCTGAATACTATATTTTTCTTCACATCAGCAACCTGAATCAACAATCATTATATGTTTATAGAGAGCTCAAGTTGATTAAGAGAAAGATAGTAGAAACAAAATATAAAATCCGTTATAAGAAATCCACAGTTTAAATGATTGCCTTATATATAGATTGTATTAACCTAAAATAGCTTTATATAGCTATGTGAAACATTCAACTGATTGATTTCCAGCATTAAATTATTAAAACTGAAAATGGTCAAATACCATTTACTCCGTTTGTCGTTGTTTTCTCAAGTAAATAAGTAATCACTTTGCGGATAATAACTAGATCAATTCAATGAGTTCATAGACTATACTGAATATAAGAGCAACTTATTTCTCTAACAAGGTGATAGATTTCTCTAACAAGGTGACAGCTTCAACCACATACTTCCCATTCCAGTTTTAACAGTAAATTACTATTCTTGAAAACAAACAAACAATCATGTAAGCATGAAACATGATTCATCCAACAATTTCACATATCAATTCAAATAATTTACAGTGATTCACAATTCATATAACTCCTTGGTAAATGAATAAAACAAAAGCACACAGAGTTAGATGCTTTGGAGTATTTCGATTATGATTATTTAATATTTTCACTGAAACTAATCAATTGACATGAGCGAAAAAAACACAATCTAATTACTAATAGGGAATACCGCAACTTAAACCCTAAGGAATCAATTTCATAATTCAAGAAGCAAAAATCATACTACAATCATTATCAAGTAAAACATCAGATCAAATAACGCATAAAACCTTAGCTTCTAATCGATTCCACATAGAAACATCACGATTCATTAAAAAAAAGAAACAAAAGAAGCAGAATTGAAACGAGACGAACCGTGTCCTCGGATTTTACTTCGATTTTGAAGTGAGTCCCCTTCAATGTTTTCACAAAAACCTTCAATGATCATCAATGAACTAGTGAACAGTGGAACCGATTACTTGAGTCGTCGCAGCCTTGTTACGCCGAAGTGAAGGCGAGGTTGCGCCAGTGAGTAGAAATCAATGGGACTACCCACGAAGTAGCGAGAGCGGAACCGATCTTCGGAGGCGTGTACAAGACGAGTTGCATCAACTGTGAAATGTGAGAAGAAGGTTTTTAAGAAGGAGGAAGCATTATTATGAAACCCTAGATATGGGGGAATATAAAAACGAGAAATGAAAGGAAAGAGGTGAGTGATTGAGAAATTATAGGAAATAGGTAAAGTTGCAATTCCGATTATGCCCTTCTGACCATTTAAATGTTACACTTTAATACCAACAATTTTAGAATTTTTCATAAATCGCCCATTTAATAATAACCTTAGATTTAAATATTTAAATGATCCAGATCTGTTCTCGCGTTCTCAACCTTTTAGGTATTCTCATTTGATCCTACTCCTATATATATATATATATATATATATATATATATATATATATATATATATATATATATATATATATATATATATATATATATATATATATATATATATATAAACGTGTTTGTATATGTTTTCATAAAATACATGTTTGTGTACGGTTTCTTTATAAAAACGTTTTTGTACACAAATATATTTACTATAAAATAGATGTATACATATATTTTTTTTATGAAATACGTGTTTGTATATATATATATATATATATATATTATAAAAATAGATTTATATATATTTATGTATTTATATGCACACAAAATGTTTTATTATGTATTTAATAAATACCTACTTTATAAGACCTTTTAAAGGTATACATATTTATAATAAAGTATTTTACATAAGTGTATTTCATGTTTTTTTCACATAACTACGTTTTTATAAATATGTATTTGAATTAAAATAATGTTTTTATAAATACGTATTTTGCATACAAAAATGTTTTAGAAAAAAAGTTTTATATAGGTATTTTGCATATAAATATATATATATATATATATATATATATATATATATATAGAGAGAGAGAGAGAGAGAGAGAGTGAGAGAGAGAGAGAGA